GGGGACTGAGGATATGGGGGCGCTGAGGTGGCTACTGGCATGCTCACGGGTGCGCACCAGACAGGTCCATAAACGACAACATGAGTTTGAGCACTGGGGCCGGCGCATAGGCTGTGGCTTCATGGACACGCCTGTGACGTGGAGACGGGTGCTCCGAGTCATGCTTTCTAAAACTGTCCCACACAGCTGATGACACGAATTACACTCCTCATGGGACACGAACCCCAGACCTATGGCTTTCCAGATTCTTCCACCACCAAGAGCAGAAGCTCATGGCCCTGACCCCCACCCTGCTCCAGGCCCCTTTCTTCATCCCTGCTGGCCATCTTGGCTGTCTACACCTTCCATGCAGTGGACGCTAGTGGCCAGGTCCTGCCTTCACTGTAGGGGAGGACTCCGCATTCTGTAACTAGCTCAGCCCACAAAGGGGATGTGTTTTCTGGTGAACTCGAGCCTACAGCAGTGAAGGAACACCAACCGCCACTGCTACCACAGGCAAAGGGACAAAACCTGCACCTCACATGCAAACAAAAGCCCTGAGTCCTCCTTGTTCAGAGCCACCGTCTCTCCAGTCTCACGGGTACACGCTCCGTCCGGCCTGGGCAATCATGAAAACCGGGGAAGCTTCCGAGAGCCCATCGGTGAGCGGGTGTAGCGGGATGGGCCTGCCAACACCGTGCCCAAAGTCGAATGGGTCCAGAATTAAGCACAGGCCACGGAAGAAAGGGTGAACAGAGACCCTTGAAGAATCAGAGTCTGATCAGAGAGCTGAGGAAGCTCAATCTAAAACAAGAAACAAACGTCTTTGTGGGCGGCTCCAAGTTCCCGGTGGCCTGGTGTGGGTGGCTCACAGTCCCCAGGTAGCCTGAGGGTGAACACACTCAGCTGCTATAACCAAAAGGCTGGAGGTTCAAGTCCACTCACAGGCACCTTGGAAGAAAGACCTGGCAACCTGCTTCCTGAAACATCAGCCCCTGAAAACCCTGTGGAGATGAGTTCTATGTGGACACTTAGGTTACCACACATTGGGGGAGGTTTTAGGTTGGTGAGTGATTTCACGCATTTTTTCAGGTTTTTGTGCCCTGGGTCTTTTACAGGGACACTGTCGTCACTAGGCTCAAGAGGTGTGCGAGGGAAAGAAATTTAGTGAAAAGGGGCTTTCACGCCTTCAAAGACACCATGTAGTCTACTATTTATTCTGTCGCTAGAGGACGCTCTATTCCACACCTGCATCGAGGCTGGTTCCTTGTAGAAGAGAGGTGCCAAGAAATAGTTTCTTCACACCTCGAAAGTAAGGGCACAAACAGACTGAAAAGAAAAATGTTCTGTGCAACCAGTAAACTTAAAGGAACCGGAGAGGCCAGACTGCTACCCGACAGAATGGGATTTAGATCCAAATACCTTACAAGAGACGAAGAAGGACGCCACAGAACAAAGGGCAGAGGCGGTGAGAAGAGAGCAGTTACAAACATACGTTCACCTACTAGCAAGGTGCCCCAAGAG